TGTGACCATTTAAATATAAAGGCCTCGAGATTATCTTTCTTTACAGCTGAGTAATATTCCATTATATAAAAGTACCATAATTTTCTTATCCAATCTAGAAGAGGATTAGTGAAGGCTAGTGAAAGCTACTGCACAGTTGCTGTTAGAAAAGTTAAAGTAAAAAAGAATGATGTCATAGAAGATGAGAGCGCTGAGGTTCCAAGGAAAGCATTATTAAAGGGTTGCTATGACAGCAGTCAAGTAGCCATAAGCAGCATTTGACATTTAAGAAGATAATGGTGATTTTTACCAGAGTAATTGTAGTGGCCCGATGCTTTAGGGGCAGATGTTAAGAGAGCAGTAATGCAGTAGTGAGTGCAGTAGTAGCTGATCCCTATGAATGTTTTCTATTCGAGAAGGAAGTTCATGTGGAGAGTGACAGCATGTTAGACAAGACCAACTTCTCTCCTGTTTTCTTAGTGTAAGTTTAGAATCTAAGCACATTTTAGTTTATGATAGTTATGAAAGAATTTAGAAATGTATCTTTTACTTGAACTTTCACAGAAAGCATGTTTCAAAAATCTGATTCTGACTAAAGTTTTACTACGCTACTAAAAAAATGAATATTCAAATACCTTTTTTTTTTCCCCCCCCAGGAAAGACTCTGTTTGCCTCATCATATTTTGGAAGAACGAGGCCTTGTGAAAGTTGGTGTTACTGTACAGGCGCTTCTTGAATTACCTACAACCAAGGCATCTCAGCTGTCTGTGGCTTGATATAACATTTTTTAAGTCAAACGTATACAGTTTCATTTACTTGAAGTGATTTAAGATATCTCAAGTTCATGAATAGCAATGTTCTGTCAAGAATAGTTTGCCTTAGGGTTTTTTAAAAATTATGTTAAAACATCAAACTTAAACTTTGAATTGCCCAAACTTCTTTTGCGGGGAAACTGGATTAATTTAATAAGAGTTTTTGATAAATTCAAATTCTCTTTTTGCAAAGTCACTTCATAACCTTATTTTTCAAAAATCAGATTCATACTAAATTTAAGAAATACTTTCAATTTAATAATCACGTTAGGTTTAGTTTTTTTTAACATAACATCCTAGTAAACATCTGGATGAAGGTAATAATTTTTTAACAATTTAATTCTCCATTTGAGTTATTTAATACACTTCTAATTCTACTTTATACACAATTTCTTCAATCTTTAGTCTTAGTTTTCTAGGGAAAAAAATGAGTAGAAGAAACAACTTTGGCATTATATTCTTTTAGTACTATAGGTTAGTGCCAAAATATTTTCATTTGTACTGTAGATTGTTTACATGTGAAGTGCCTGTGTAATTGATGAATCCTATATAGTCTTAAGCATTTTTATAATTTCTTTTTATGTATTAATAGAGTCAATGGAACTTTAAAATATTTTAGTAGATTTTGTAAAGTCAGTATTATGTGAGGATTTAAATGTACCTCACATTGTGACATTTGTGATTTTTTTAGTTAGTCCATTGCAGTTCTCCTTAAATTGGTTATTTCATGTTTTCAAAAACCCCAATGTTAATATGCTTAATTTATGCTATTTAATTTTGCAAAACTTAACCATCTTTTAAAATGTATTATTTGAAGAGTATTTTATTTCTGTATTGAAAATGTTACACAAAGCAGTAAGATTTTTGAGAACTAGTAAAGTACTAATTACGAAGGACATTTTGATAAAACTAAAGTTTGGGTTTGTATTTTGACTTCCAGGAACATTACACCAGGGTTGCTTTTAACTATATTCAGAGAGCAGCCATTGAGGAATAGGTTTTTATTAAAATGGCCATTTGTGGATACTGTATACCTATGGTCCTCAAATAACTCAGTGTTAAATGAAATATAGATTGATCCATAAATATTTTCATGAGGTACTATGGTATATATAGTCCTTGTCTAATTTAGAGATGGGTGATTTTATGTTCGTAGTAGTACAGGAATTTTTCAAAAACATTACTGTAATGGATAACTCAGTTTCCTATAGAAGAATCTTAGTAATTACTTTTGTAGTAGCCAAGCAAGTATCATATCTTAAATATGTGATCATTTGCACTTGTTACCTCTTAATATGGATGCAACTTATTAAAAATGCTGGCCCGGGTATTTCAAAGGGTATATATAAAAGGTAATAACTAGTGTGCCAAATGGTATAGTAAGAGTTAGTTTAGGAACAACTCTACTATTTTTTGTCATTTGGCATGAGGCCATATAATTAAATTTTGGCTTTAGAATACAGATGTGTTCTTTACATTCCCTAAGGGTCAAATTGGAGCTTTTAAAGAATTAAAGCTTCTTATGACTGTAAGGTTTAAGAATTAAATTATTGGTAATTTATTACTTTAAATATTTGAGCTAATTAGTTATTTTTCAGTTGGATTAAAGAACCTCACTGACATAATTCCTAGTGAAAACTTGGATAATGTACCTAAGAAATGACAAGTTAGTACCTTAGTTGCTGAGTTTTTAGTTTAGAAATTTGACAGTGTTATAAATTAAGAAATCATTAAAACCAACAGCACTCATTCATACTTCTTTCCCAGTTGTCATGCTGTAGAATTGCTCTTATTAATCAATCTAGTGTTAATTATTTTGTTTCATATCATGGAAATAGTACTAAAATTGTTGGCTATTCCTTTGTTAGATCTCACTTGCCGGTTATTACTTTAAAGAGAAAATACACCAGAACCTAACTGTAGCATTCTTTTCTGCAAAACTTTTATTTAATATCAATTCATCAGAGTTCCATTCCATGCTAGTTCATTTATTATTGTGCCAAAAGGCTACACCACCTCTAACACAGTTTCACAGGATAGTCCCCAAAGACAACACTGTACTAAGGCTCTGATGTTTTTCTTTTAGCAGTTTTAAAGGTAAAATTTATTCTAAATGTCTTATGGTTGTTATATATTTACTTCATCAGTTATTGAATTAAGAATGAGTGCCATTATTTGAAAGGGTTTATGATTTGTTGAGGGTTGAATAATCACACTAAAATATTTTATTGGCCCCTAAAAATTCAATATATAGCTATTTCTGGTACATATGATGACTGTATGGCACAAGAAAGGAACGATGTTGGATATGTTAGAATTGAAACAAGGAGTAAAAATGCATTTCCTTTTGTTTAATAACTTCCTTTATAGAATGCCGGTTTAATGACTTTTCTAAGTGAAATTTTTGAAGAATTCAGAAAGATTTGTATTGGTTACAGATATCATAATTGATTTTTTGACGTGTTTAAAGATAAATGGAACACTAAATGTATATTACCGATGCAAACTTGGATAAAGTTGAATGAAAAGATTTTAAGTCTTGGATTTCTTTTCTCCCCCTCACCTCTTTCACCATCACAGCATCCTCTTTTTAAATAAAACAGTATTTGATAGCTTGTGGGTATATTCTCAAGAGTAGAAAAATAGACTCTGCAAGTTTATTCAAAGTAGGTTGTCTTAGTTAGAAATAATGAACTGGACCTGTAGTCCAGTTATTAGGGAGGCCAAGGCAGAAGGATTATTTGAGCCTAGGGATATAGGGCCAGCCTGAGTAACATAGTGAGACTCTAGTTGCAAAAAGAAACAAACAAACAAACAAAACCAGGAATAAAAAACAGAGTCTTGATTCTCTTTATATCATATTTTAAGTAGACAAAATTTTCTGCAAAAGCAATAATTTTTTAGAATACCTTCTCAAAATAATGTCACCTTTATATAAGATTAACGCTTTATATAAAAAGTACAAGAAGAAAGTAAAGAAAATACGTCAAATTGTGATTATTTTTATTATAGATTTTAATGCTAAGTATACGATTGAATTGCCCTTAAACTATGTGATAAGAAATTTTAATCTTTCATTTTCAAATAATTTTTTAAAAGTAAAATATCCACATATTAAATAGCTTATATTTGTTTATAATTTTGATTGAACTAAAAGTAGAATTTCCTTTAGGTAAATTTTATTGCAGAGAATATTGCCCCATTTCATAGTTGCTTATCTTAAATGGTCATATTTAAAGAAATATTTAATTACGTGAATATTTGGAATAAGGTATTTGAAAACTATCCAAGTTTACCACAGAATTTTGAATTATCAATAGGCAATGATAGTAAGCTTTTTTTCTGCTTTAGTAAGTCTACCATTTTGATACTCTGCATGGAATGGTTGTAGGATTGTCAGGAATCTATCTGAATTCTTCAGAGTACTTGGAAAGACTTAAGTCTTTATTGTACATTAGATTAATTTGCAAAGCCAGATATCTTGTGGAATTCATACTTTGGAAAATATTAGAAGCTCATTTAAGGTATAATATTTTATATTCCTTTGTTTTAAAATATAAAATAATCCTTATACTTAATAAGGTTTATGCAGCTTACAATTTCTACAGTTGTGTGTCTGTGTGTGTGCATCTCATGTAAGATTCTACCTGTTTTGGTAAAACCACAGTCTGACTGAATTAGCAAATGAGAATTTTGAAGAAAAATTCCGTGACATACGTAGTGTTTTTATTTTAAAATGAAGAAAAAATAAAACAATTTCAAAACAAGATAATAGGAGAGTTATAATAATTCATAAATTGCATATTGTTATCTTCAGAGTAGTTACTCAGGGTAGAAGATATAGGCATGAGATATTCGCACAAACCTTTTTTTATTTGAAAGAGCACAAACCTTTCTTTTCAATGAACTAAGAGATAGCAGTATAATGATCTTAACTATCTTGCGTATTATATATATATATTTTTTTTTTCTCCTTTTCCCTTCCTTCCTTTCCCCTTTACACTCTGACCTAAGTTATTTAGGATAGAAGATTACTATTTGAATTATTGAAAGTTGCTAAAGAGAAAATTCTTTTTTTTTGTTTTGTTTTTTTCCCCGGTATCAAGAATCAAACGCACGACCTTGATCTTGCCAGGCAGGTGCTGTGCCGCTGAGCTAAATCCCCAGCCGCCTAAAAGAAAATTGTTTAAAAGGTGGTGACTTTTAAATTTTAAATTACTGCAAATGCTCCTTGTTTCTCAAATGCATAATTTGGATTGCCCTGCAGTAAGGTTGGGGAGAAATACATTCATTTTTACTCTATTACAGTGATATGCATTAGTTATGTACCAAAGTAGGTGAGTAGTGTATTGGAATCATACATAAGTAAATACCCAAATAGAAATAAATTTTTCAATAACAAATTGAATTTTCTAGATCTTTGTTCAAATATCTCAGTCATTTATAGTGCAAATAAATACAAAGTAATGCTGTACATTTTAAAGATGAGAATTATGCCTTAGGGCAGTAATTCTTTAAACTTTAATATTCATGTAGATCACCTGAGTGTCTCGCTAACCAATAAAGATGGATTCAGCAGGTCAAGAGTGTAGCTGGTCCAGTGAACAGCTTCAGTAATAGGCCTTACAGTTGTTCTAGTGTCATAGAAATATCAATTTACTGCACGGTAATAGTTTGGTATTTCAATTGATGCTTCAGGATCTTTACATGTAGTTAACTTTTTAAAATAGGTCTCTATTACGAAAAGTGGTCTACTTTCTTAAGATCTGTATGGTTTTAAAAAGTGTAATGTATACTGAGATTAGTAGTATTTCATGTATTTTTCTTTTAAAACACATTTTTAAGCTGTCTGGGATAAAATCCAGGGCTCTGAACATGTGCATGCACTCTATCACTGAGCTATATTCTCATTCCCTGCTAATGCTTTAGAAACATATAACCATATGATTTCCAAGGTAAAGGAAATTAGTCACAAAAACTATGTGATTGTTACAGATATATATTATATATATATGACAAGTTAATGCAGTGTTCAATTGAAAATACCAAAGCATAATACCTTCCCCTTGTGCAGTGCTTAGAAAGTTACATTAATTTCTCGTGATCTTGACGTCAGTTCACTCTCTTTCTGGATAGCATTATCTCCCTTTAATTTTCAATTGAAAGTAAAATCATTTCCACGCTGCCAGGATGAGTTTAAATGCAGACTATATAGAAATGTACAGATATTTACTTAATTCTAAATATTTATGATTTATGGTCACAGCTTAACTATACCTTTTTAATAATTATAATTAACGCAACTTTTATATTTATACCCGTTTTTCTCACTCTCATAATTTTAATATGTAAGACTATCAATTGAGTAAAAATTAGTATTATGTTATATAACATATTTAAAAATCTTACATACTTGGGTATGATGGTGGCTATTAGTGAATTAGATATAAATATGTTTTTAACTATAGTTATAATTTATAGTTTTTATCACCAAAGTTTCCAGGTTTTCTAAGGATAAGATAAAGACAAATTAATGATGTATTCCTGTATATAATCAGAAAAAGAGCACCATTAAAGAATTTTACAATTTCTACGTCACCATTCTTTCATTCTTCAAAGTAGGTAGCTGAGACCCAGAAATATGATTTGAGCAACTTTTAAGCACTGAAATTCTTTCTAACTATTCTTGGATTGTTTACCTACTATAACTAGAACTTGTATGGATTTTGTTTTTTCCAAGGTCTTCAAGTTTAACACTTTTATGTATGACCACTTATCCACAACAGGTTGAGGTTATAATGCTCTGAAAAATTAATTTTATATTAGCTAATTTAAAGCACTTCTTAAACACCACTTGCCAGGTATTGTTATTATAGGCCTTGATGATATGGATATAAGTAACAGAGATAGTCCTTTAGCTTAGAGTTATATAAAGTAATTCACCTGCTTGTTTCTGGCTGTTGAAACAGATATTAGGATTCATAATAATAAAGTTTATCATTCATCGTTCTCATATTTTGTAAGAAATACTTCCCAGTAGTAAATTTTGTAATTCCTTATTACTGCTAGATGGTTTGAACGGTTATATTTCTTTTTTCCACTTCATTTTTCCCAGCTTTATTGAAGTATAGTTGACCAAATAAAAATGTATGTATTTAAGATGAACATGATCTTTTAAATTTCTTTTTAATTAATACGTAATTGTACAGTGTGATAATTAAGTACATGTATACAACATACAGTAACCAAATCATTTTAGTCAGCATTTTCATTTCCTTATCAGTTCTTTATGCTTTGGGTCTTTGAACTTCTTCCTTCAAGTTCTTCTTAAAATGTACAGTAGTTCTAAACTGTACTCATCCTACTGTGATGTAGAATACTAGAACTTACTCCGCCTATTCAACTATATTTTGGTGCCCTTTACCTTCCCTAATCCCTATTTTTCCTTGCCTCTAGTAATCACTATTGTACACTCTTCTATGAAATCAGTGTTTTTAGCTTCCACATAAGAGAACATGTAGTATTTGTATTTCTGCATGTGGCTTATTTCACATAATAATATCCCACAGTTATGTGCATTTTGTCACAATTTACAGTATTTTTTTCATGACTGAATAATATTCTATTGTGTATGTATACCACATTTTCTTTATCTATCTATCTGCTGTTGGACAATTAGACTGCTTCTAAGATTTAGCTATTAGTAATTGTGCTGCTGTAAACATGGGGGTGTATGTATCACTGTAATATGTCTAGCCATTTCTTCTGTTTTCTTCTAGGGGTTCTATAATTTTAGATTCAGGTCTTTGATTCATTTTGAGTTGATTTTTCTAACTGGTGAGAAATAGGGCTCTAGTTTCTTCTACACAGGGATATACAGTTTCCCTAGCACCATTTATTGCAAAAGTCATCATTTTCTAGTATATTTTTGATACTTCTATTGGAAATCTGTTAGAATAGATATGTGGAGTTATTTCTTAATTCTCTGTTCTGTTCTACTAGCATAAGTGTTGGTTTTTATGAGTGTCATGCTGTCATGGTTACTGTATGTCTGTAGTATGTCTTAAAATCAGGTGTTGTGATGCATCCAGCTTTATTCTTGTTCAAGATTACTTTGACTATTCAGGATCTTTTTATTCTATCTGAATTTTATGAGTATTTTTATTTCTGTGAACAATTCCATTGATATTTTGATGCAGATGACATTGATTTTGTAAATTACATTTGATAGTAACAATATTAATTCTTCTAATCAATAAACAGGGAATTCCATTGTTCGTGTCTTCAATTTCTTTTATTAGTGTTTCATAATTTTCATAGTACAAATCATTCATTTCCTCAGTCTCAATTGGAACCTCATACTTTTTACCAATATTTCCCTATTTCTCCCAACCCTGAACCCTAGTAACATCTGTATGAGTCTGTTCAGGCTAGTATAATAGAATATCATAAATTTGAAACTTACATTTTACAGTTCTGGAGGCTAAATCCAAAATCAGGGCATAGGTAAATTGAGTGTCTACTAATGGAA